TATCCACATGCCAGGGTGATTCCGGCGGACCACTAGTCTTACTATCGACGCAAGAACTTATTGGTGTTACTTCATTCGTTAACACCGCTGGCTGTCTATCTGGCCGTCCAGCAGGCTTTGCACGTGTAACCAGCTACTTAGACTGGATTAAGGAAAATACAGGCATTTACTATTAATTGTTGTTAATATTTAACCATAAAATAAAAGCTCTTTATTGTCAAAAGTATTTTGAGTTTTTGAAGTGTAAGCTCTTGAGATTAAAATGGCATAATATTTAATCAGTTGCAGTTCACTGATTTTACTTTAGATTGTTGATATCTCATAATTTCTAGACCTATAAATACCTGTTTAGTATTCCAATAATTCAGTTAAGTTTTAACTGTTGTGAGAAATGAAATTGCTTTTAGTATTCGCTTTGGCCTTAGCCACCACTTCGGCCGACTTATTGTCACGAAATGTTGTCCACCAACGAGACTTGACATTTACACCACTTATTGATGGACGTATTACTAATGGTAAGGATGCAGTTGAAGGTCAATTTCCTTATCAAGTTGGTGCTAGCTTCTCAAGCAGTAAAGGATCTTGGTGGTGTGGTGGTTCTATAATTGACAACGAATGGGTTGTCACTGCAGCTCATTGCACCAGCGGGTAAGCACAGCACACAGCGCTTTGAAAATTTTATAAATACTAAATACTTTTATTCATATTATAGAGCTACTTCAGTGACTCTTTACTTTGGAGGTGTTGTACGTACCAGTCCTGAGCTTAAGGTCACAGTCAGCAGTTCAAACTTTATTCAACACAGCAGTTACAACTCTATTACAATCAGGAACGACATTTCTCTTATCAAAATTCCAAGTTTGAGCTTTAATAAGAATATCAACAAAGTTAATTTACCAAAGAAGGCTTCATCTTACTCAACTTATGCTGGTGATGTAGCTATTGCATCTGGCTGGGGATTAATTAGCGATTCTGCAACCGCTGTTCATTCCAAATTGCAGTATACTCCATTGGAAGTTATTACAAACGCTGAATGCAGTGCAGTCTTTGGTAAATTGCTTGTTTATTCAAGTACTATTTGTGTTGCCACACCAGCCGGTACCTCAACTTGCCAAGGTGATTCCGGTGGCCCATTGGTTTATGGCAATGATTTGATTGGTATTACTTCATACGGCTCATCTGCCGGTTGCGAATCTGGTTCACCAGCTGCCTTTACTCGTGTCACAAGCTACTTGGACTGGATCAGTGCAAATGCTGGAATCTAAAAACTTTTAATTAATATTGTAAATATAATTTCTTAAAATGGTGCTTTTCATTACTTTTTAAGAGAACTAGCTATTGTTTTGATTTAAATCAACTTAAATAAATTGATGAAACATAAAATTATAAAGACTTTTCAACTTTCAACTAAATTATGATTTAAATCGAATATCGATCGCTTCAATATCACACAGTAATAATATATCTATATTTGTACTCATGTGTTACATACATAATTGAACTAGAGTTAGCATGAAGAAGCGCACTTTACCAAATTGCAATATATTAGTAACAATGCGTTTAGTATAGGTACTAACTGTGATTCGTTATATTATGTACAAAAAGCAATTGCATCCGATTCTTGTATATCTGCATCAATGAGTTTACTATATACTTTCTCCTAAATTATTGATAGTAACAAACAAGTGAGTACTCAGCTGTGCACCATTTACTGTTAAATAAATCATCACTTGCATATCTAACTCAAAAACCGGGGTGTCTCCAACGAATTATTTACAATAATATCAACGCAGGAACTTAAAGGTGTTATTTCAGTTACTAATACAGCTAGCTGACTATTTGGGTACCCAGAACAGGTAACTGGAATTGTTATAAATATTTAAAATGAATATAAACATTCAAAAATGTTTGAAATTTTGAAATGTGGGTTCTTTGGATTAGCTATGCAGAATATTTAAATAACTACAGTACACTGATTTTAGATTAGTTGTGCCTTATGAGTGCTTAGACTCTAAATACGGTTTCATTATTCCAATATTTCAGTTAAGATTAAACTATTGCAGGAAATACAATTTGTTTTAGTATTCGCTTTAGCCTTAGCTTTAAACTTTTCTTGTTGGAAATTAATTAAAATAATCTTTTTTATTAAATAATGATTTGAAATTGAATTTTAAGTATATGCATAACATATATATATATATGTATTATGAGTTATACTTTCTCGTATGAAAAACATTATAACTTTTTATTTTCATATTGGCCACTACGGATATATCCTAAAAAGTTGAAAGTATAATGATTAAAAATTAGAACATATGTGATATACATTATCTATCCAAAACCTGTTCGCTGACTTGGTCATGTCGTGCTTATGGAAGAAAGTACTCCGGCTAGAAGGGTGTTTGATTTGGTATATGCAAGTGAAAAACGCGGTAGAGGACGTTCGCATCTTCGGTGGAAGGACTTGGTGACCAACAATTTGCGGCACTCGGTACTACCAATTGGCGACAGCAAGCAAACAAGGACGACTCACGTCTGTAATGGCCAATATATATATAATATATATGGACCATATATATAAGTAAGTCCAAAATCGAATAATACTCACTAGTTCTGTTTTCTGTTTTGGTTTACTCACAAAAATATGAAATGTTGTACTTTCCAATCTTCTTAGAATTCGTAGTCTGTCAGAAGAGGTAGCACTTTAGTTTAAATATAGTAGGTTGTACTTTTCTCTATCCTAGTTTCTTCTTCTTTGAGTATCACCGAATATTCTGTGTAATTACTCTTCTATGAGTATATCGAAGTCGATGTGTTACTCATTACGAGTGACTTTTAATGCCGGTACTTGTTCACTGTCTTCTACGTCTTCATAACCGTTATAGAAAAACCAATAGAAAACTTGTCGGTGGCTAATATCTTTATTGTTATACATTCAATTTAAGATTTCTTGCCATTCCGTGTCCGTGTGTAACATAAAATATAAAGTCACAACAAAATATTAAATAAATTTACAAAATTTTTAATTGCAAGAAGATAATGTGTACTCGATTTGCCTAATATCATTCACTCACAGATGTCACTACACAACGCATCAGCAGATCAAGGACTGATAATTATTTTTATTAATTATTTTAAGTACTAAATTTTTATTGACGTTTCTTCTCCTATATTCTTTATGTGATAATTAAGTCTACAGTGTCCTGTAAGTAGCCCAGTGTCGCTTCTGTTCAGGTTAAGAATAACGTGAACTTTAATTTGTTCAGGATCAATAAATATTCTTGACTGCCACATGTCAGCTTCTTATACATTTATTAATTTAAAATTAATTGCTTTCATAAAGAAGTAATGATTAGAAAAGAATTTATGAAATATTGCAAATGTCCTGATTTATCTGATTTATCTGAAGATTATACTTTTTAAAAATGCATTGATCTGTGTTCTTGATGGTTAGATAAAGCAAATCCCAGGTAGGCTTGTCATCAGCACAAATAGCATAACATTTTAATATGATCCTTTGTCCAATTCTTATTTAATGCTTCAATCTGCCTTACTAAGTGTATAAGTAAATAATAAGTGACCCTTTCAGCACCCAAAATAGGTTTAAACACAGCTCCGGCCTCTTACCACTACTCTTCATCACGCCTCTTTCCCTTGTCCATGAAAACATCAACACCCAATTGACATTTATTGACGTCTAAATACCAAATTTGGAGAACCTTCAGGATTTGCAGAGAAACATTGACATCTTCTCTGAAGGTTTCCGAAAAATCGGATTAAACATTAATATCAGCAAAACCAAGTGCATGCGCATTAACACCAACAACAACAATCCTATAATTATCAACAAAACTCAGATTGGAAATGTTCGCAATTTGACTATATAGGAAGCAAAATTGATATTTGTGGTGGTCCTTTAGTTGAGGTCTAAAATGTTTAACAATATATGACATTACAGCAAAATACAAAAGTACTTATTTATAATCCTTGAGTCAAATCTGTTATATAGGAATGGATGCGTAACGTGGCATACACCAAGTGCTGTTAAAACAAAAATACAAGCTTTTAGGAATAGATGTTTGCATACAAGTTTAAGAAACTGGTACCCTAGAATAATAACAAATAGTCAACTATGGCGCATTACTGGCTAAAAACCGATGGTACGCCTTTGAAAGTATAGATGGCTGGGACACACGCAACATAAGCAAACAAACCTTAAGACCACAGAAATAGAGGACGACCAAAAATTACATGGCGTAGAACAATTACAAATGAATCACATCAAGAACTATAAATGAACTAAGATTTATGGTACAAAATCGTCAACTTTGAAGAAACTCTCTTACGGGTTTATATGAATAAGCTAAGTTCTATGTATTAATTGTGTTGAACATGCTTGTAATAATAATAATATATTTGATTTAATTAGAAAGTTAAAAATAATCATATTATTGTGCATGAAATCTTTAAATCATTTTGAAAAAAAACTATTTCTAAAAAACTATTTTTTAGACAAATAATATGAAATGTTAAGCCTTTTCCCAGTCAGTGCATCTGGGCACTTTTACTCTATAATAGCTGGGGGGATTCTGCAGAGTTCCGCCTATCTCACTGACTAATTTGAGTATTCCTAATAATCTTCATGATTATTGAATGATTGATCTAAGATCTGCGTACCACCCTATGCGGTTAATGATTACTCTGAGATTAGATAGTGCTAAGTAAGGCAGCCTGTCGGTTTTCATATATAACTTTGTACCTTATGTATTTTTTGAACGGATCTATTCTAAGGTCACTAAAATAAAATCAAGGCACTAATTGAATAGCACATCTTTTAACGACGACTCGAATGTAATTAAATCAATCATCAAATTAACACATTTATACTCATATATAATATATATTTTTCATATATATGTGCTTAAATAAATAATTCATTCATTGTTAATAAAACATTTTTTTGGTATGAATAAAATAAAATATATATTTTTTACATCACTTTGTATCTATCTAAATACTCAGTACATTCAATATATGTATGTATATATATACTTAGATCCTTTAGATTGACAAATTTATATTGACGATGATTAGGTGAATTTATTTTTTTAAAAATAATCACGGGTTCATAAAGAACTTTTCTTTCTTCTCGTTCTTATTTACTTTAATTTGTTTTGATTGTCGCAATTAAAAATTGTCTAATCAAAGCCATAAATAAAAATGTCTTCAATACCTTTAAGTATCGCAATGGATTAGTTTTGATTTCTATATGTGCACTTGATAAGCAAATTAAAAAAGTATTGAACCCAAGAAAATAAATAAAAATAAAAAATATCAGATTGCAAAAATAATTTTGTATACAAATATGAATTTTTTTTTAAAATTAGAACATATCGAACTAAAGCTAGCACGTAACTTTAAATCAATTGCAATCAATTAGATAACAGGAAATAACGTATATATCTTTTTGGAAAAAAAGACAAATATCAATTTGGTATAAATTGATTCAAAATGCTGGAAAGAAATTAGTTGTTAACTTTTGTTTGAAGTCAACACAAAATGAAATTTTTGATTGTTTTTGCTTTGGCTTTAGCCGTCGTCTCTGCTGATGTGCCAGTGCATCCTAAGGATTTGCCAGCTTCTGGCGTTCCAGAAGGACGCATCACCAATGGCAAGACTGCAACTGCTGGACAAATCCCATATCAAGTTGGTTTGAGTTTTTCAAGCAGCTCAGGTGGCTGGTGGTGTGGCGGTTCCTTGATTGAATCCACAGTTGTTTTGACTGCAGCTCATTGTACAAGCGGGTAAGTGATTTGTATATTTAAGAACTAAATAGTTTTTATCTAGCTAGCCATTTATTTACGAAATTTCTTTCATTATAGTGCCTCAGCTGTTACTGTATACTTGGGTGCCACCCAACGCACAAATCCTAAGCAATCTTTCACTGTTAACAGTTCCAACTTCAGACAACACTCAAGTTATAATTCACTTACTTTAAGCAATGATATTTCTATTATCATCATACCAGCAGTGAGCTTATCATCAGATATTAACACCGTTGCATTGCCAGCGGTTGCTTCATCCTACTCTACTTATTCCGGAGACAATGCAATGGCTTCTGGCTGGGGTTTGACCAGTGACAAAGCCACCGCCGTGTCTAGCAATTTACAATACGCTACATTGAAAGTCATTGACAACAGCGTTTGCCAAAAAACTTATGGTAGTCTTACAGTCACCTCGAAAACTATCTGCACTGCTACAACAGACGCCACATCAACTTGCAGTGGTGACTCCGGTGGTCCATTGGTCTTGTCATCATCCAAGGTGCTTATTGGTGTTACTTCTTTCGTTTCATCTAAAGGCTGTGAATCTGGTAATCCAGCTGGTTTTGTACGCGTTACCTCATACTTGGACTGGATCAAAGCAAATAGTAAATGATTTCCCAATAAAATTAAAATAAAAAATTTTTGAGATATACAAGTATACATGAGTGTTATTACTTTCAATAAGAATAATAGTTTTTCTTTACGACTTGATAAAGAAAATGGAAAATTCGATTTTTCTGTTAACAGTATTTGATTACAAAGTTCGGGAAATTTCTATATTATGAAAAACTTTTTCCCTTAAGGGTTATAACAATATCGCTAGCTTCTGATATATTGAGCTTTAAAGTTTAAAACTTTCTACATTAAATTAATGTACAAAACTGTACACGCCATCTAGCGGAATACTACACAAACCATTTTATCGTTTTTGGCTGGTTTGTGTGTTTTTAAAGCACAAACTGGCAATTTTAAAGCTAGATAACTCTAACGGTAGCAACACCATATAGTAGAATGGAAAAAAAATGCTCCAAATTTTGAAGGTTAAGAAAATCCGAGATCGTGTCAAGAATGGCAACATTTCTTTTAAAAAATGGGGACAATAAAAAAAAATTATTTCAATGTAATTATTCTGATTTTAATGGAAACAGAATTTTACAAGAGATTCAATTATTCTACAGCTGGTTTATGATTTCTAATATAAACATGGCAAGTGAATTTGTTAATAAAACTTTCACAGCAAAGTAACAAAACTCCAGAAAAATGGGCGAACATAAAAGTCAAGTACAGCTCTCGGTCAATTGGTTAAGGTGCGCTGAGTCTGAGCTTCAAATTTGGCAGGGAACGAGTTTGTTTCCTGGTACTTGTAGTCTCAAAAAGTTGTTAACGAATAATTAAATACAAGAATTATTTCCAAGACCACTGATAATAGGTATTTGGCAATACTCGAAACAGCTGTATGGTTAGCCAAAAACTTAATTAATTAAAATAATATAAAATGAATTTTTGTTGTTGTAGTTCACTACTGTTTGAAAAACCTCTTTAAAAAGTACGTTATTTAAATAATTATTAAAAATTAGTTTAAATAATTTACATAATTTTAAAATACAAAAAATATTATTTCAATATATATAATATGATATAATCATTAATTATTTCTAGATATACATAGTTTTTATATAAAATAAAAAAATTTTAGAATTAATTTTAGAATGGTGTTCCAATATCTAAAAAACAAGGTTTCATAATTAATTCTGGACTAAATTCAGTTATGTTTAAGTGGACACTAATCTACTGAATGTACTGATGTCTAATAAAATTTTTTAAAATAAGTGAGTGTCTTAATAAAGGCATTACAAACATAGCCTCAGAGCTACAATCAAGCGACTATTTATCGAAACTTTTCACTTCATATGAAAAAATTAAGCTAATCCCTCAACTGTCAATATTAATTCAATATAAAAATCCATTTTTTGTATTTTGCTGATCAAACAAATAAAAAACTTAAGTATTGACAAAATCCCCACACATGTATTTATTTTTCTTGGAATTTACTCAAATATACATTTGTTTTGGACCCATATCCTAATATTAACTGAATTGTATGAATTTTGAACTGAAATAGAAGAGACAGAAAATATAAAATATTAGCATATGTGTATATATATTGCTAAATAAAGTACTTTACCAATCTCTCCTGGATTAAAGATGATTTCCATTAAGAAACAAAAACAAACTGCGAAATTAGAAAAAAGAAGCCCATTGCCTAACTTCATTAGGACTGAGCCAGACTTCAAGTTGTATAATAAATGCATCTGCAAATATCGCCAGTCTGTTAAAAAGCTTCACATCCATTCTTCTACAGCATACATGACCTAGTTGTGCAGCTCCAATTGCGGATCGATAGAAAGCATACACTTCATGAAGCTCCGGTTCTCCAGAGCCCAATATTATTAAGAATAAAGACGAATGTTCCAAATTTGCGTCGAAAGACATAAGAAGTTGTCCAAAATTACCTGCGTAGAACAAAGTATTGACCTCCGCCATTGTCAATTGTTCTATCTCATTGGCAGCCATAACAAAATGTATATAAGAAACCAGGTTATACTTTTTGGTTTTGTGTGGGTATTATAATTTTTTGTTGATCAAATTTTGTTACTGAAAATTTTTATATATTCAATTTAAATATTTTTTTATTTAAACAAAGAAAAGAAAAACAAATTAAAAAAATAACGATTACTTTAATTATTTTTTTACGTATAAGAAAATAAGTGGAAAATTTGTAATATATGTACCATATGGGGTATATATTATCATAAATCAGTTCTCAAAAGTATCTATGAAATTATAAGTGTAGCGACGTTATTTGGCATCGTTAGAGTATATAAGTATACTATAATTAATTGAAATATAATCACACGTATTTTCAGTTAAATACTTATAAGATAAATATACCTATGGGATTTCTTGGAGATTCCTTTAAAAGAATGCGATCTAATGTTTTTAATATCCTAGAATGCAATGCCCTCGTAAGTCTTGGATTTCAGACGTCATGTGCACTATTGACGTAATACCACCATGTACCATGCAATATTTTTATAAAAGTTTCTTATAAAATTTATAAGATATTTCTCCATATTCTCTATAGACAAAATACATGCCATATTTATTAACCGTTTCTTAAAGTCAATAGGATTTGAAATCCTTTTTAGCGATGTGAATATAACGACATATTGATTGTTACAACTCTATTTTTATTAAAATTGTATATATAAAATATTTTAGTGTTTTCATAAATTAAATGACATATATTAAATATATGAGTTTTAATTTCTATTATTAATTTGCACATCAACAACGATAAGTATATAAATGACATATATAAGTTCTAAAAGCTTTTGAAATAATATAATATTTAATATAATAATTTGACAGTACTGTTTAAGTGTCATATGTCAAACGGAACTGTTATCTTATAACATGTTCACACTTGGCTCATTTAGATAATCTTGCTCGTTAAGGTCGCTAATGAGAATAAATAACCATACAAAATACTTCTGTACTCGTATAAATGAGTTCATTATAAATAAATCAACTAATTTAAGGCGCAAAATGTCCAATGCAATCCTTAAAAATAAATTTCTCACAAGAGAAATTGTCAAAATTTTAAATATTTTTTATGTGCTTTTTATATTAAAAATGAGCAAATAAGCTATTCCATATGCATAAATCAGCTTATGCCAATAGAAACGACCGGTACTAAATTTCATTAACATTAGTAGTTTTCAACTTACTCAACATTGGATTTACATTGGATTTTCATTTAGTTTACAGTAGCATTAACAGAAACGATAAGAAAATTTTACAATAATTAAATAATCCGTTTGGTGTTATTTCAAATAACTCATAATGTATGTAATTTATTGTTTTCTTTTATTGCTGAAATAAATATTTATTATAAAAAAAATCGCTTAAAAAAATTGTTGTATTACTAGATTTTTCATATAAAAGGTTGCAAATTTCCTAGAAACTATTAGAACTAAAGTTGTTCTTTAAACATGATGAGATCTACATCAATAATTGTTTTAGCACTACTCTTTGCCTATACTGGCGCTTTGCCACAGGATCGTATTATCAACGGCAATGATGCAGCTGTGGGACAAATTCCTTTTCAGGTGGGTTTAACACTTAGCGACTCTTTGGAAAACTGGTGGTGTGGTGGTTCTATTATAAGCACAAATTGGGTCTTAACTGCAGCTCATTGCACAGATGGGTAAGTTAAATTACATTACAATTACTTTTAAATAATTTCCTATAATGATTCATTATCAACCATAGAGCCGTTTATGCAATTGTTTATTTGGGTGCCACAGATCGTACTAAACCGGAAAAAGTTCTATATGTAACTAACTCCAATTTTATACAACATGAAGACTATCAACCAGCTCCTTATGTAATGAACGATATATCACTAATTAAAATTCCAACAATTACATATACCAAAAATATACAAAAAGTTGCAATTCCCAAAATCTCAACGAGTTATTCTTCATATGCTGGTAATATTGCTACTTCATCCGGCTGGGGTATAACCAAAGAAAATACCAATGTCCTACCTACAAACTTACAATATGTGCATTTAAAAATTATAACGAACAGTTTATGCAATGAAACCTATCATTCTACCTTAGTTAACAAAGGATCACTCTGCACTGCTACTCCGCAAGCTACTACCACATGTGAAGGTGATTCTGGCGGCCCGCTGGTGGATCTTGCCTCTGGTAAACTTATTGGTATTAACTCATTCGTATCAGGAGATGGTTGCGAAGCTGGAGATCCTGCTGGATTCGTTCGAGTAACAGCATACTTGAACTGGATTCGGAAAAATAGTGGTGTGGTTGGAGTGTAAACGTCCAATACAACCAGACAATATAGTCATATACATATATACATATATATCTGTATGTGTGTGTATGTATGTGTATGGATATATAGAACAGCTAGCTGTTAAATAAAGTTTTGTAATTAATAAATATGTATTTCAAATTAAATTACCTCTGCAGTTAAATGAAAATTCAAAAAAAAATATAATTTTCTTTAATTTTAAATGCTATGACTTCACAGATTTTTTACAGTAACAGAGACATACATAAGAACTATTCATTTGTGAACTTATACTAATATGTGTCAAGTCCTTACTGATTTAATTGTAAGGATGTAACTACAATTGCACTAAAACTTTTCAGAACAAAGAATTGAATTTATTAGCCAAAAGAGAACAATATTAGAAAAAATCAAATATTTTGAACTTATTTTAAATTTTCAATACGACCGAACTCTGAATCTGAATAGTCTGAATAGAGTCGTACACTGCTTAAACATGATTTCTTGAGCACATCAACACTCCAGCATTTTAAAGTACTGAGATTGGTCTGCAAAATCTCCTATACATACACCAGCCATGATTGCCACGAGGATGTCGGAGTTAAGTATAAAGCGTTATATCTGAACCATTATAGGTTAGCAAGAACTTTGTGATAATATGAAATCTTCTGTTCTGAAATACCACTCCCATTTACCAGAATTTTAAAATATTCACAACTGCGAAGTATCTGCCAAACTTTTTCCCGGTAGATATTCACATTAACCATACCACAACAGTCCAGAACCACCCAAAGCATAACCAAAACAATCCAAAACAAGGAATCGAATATTTCAATTTATGTTTGACCCTTTGAAATGCAAACTTGATATATTAATTTACTTCCAAATTAGGCAATTTTTTCGACAATATTGCATTGCAAGTGCAACTGAACGGTCAGAATTTTTTTTAAACGTTGACATAATTTTGACCGTTACTTAATTTAATTAACATAAGTAGTTTTAGCTGCAAACATGGTATAAAGCGTTATTTATTTAGTTAAAAATTTATCATTTTAAAATATTAGTCATTTAGTAACCACTGAGCGTATTAAAATTGTAAAAATTTTTTACTAAAATGGTTATTCTATATACATTTCGTGCATTACGAGGTTGATAAAATAAATCATTTAGAGGAATAAAGGAATATTGCGCAAGAAATTTTACTCATTTTGTGAGATGAACTTACGACTTAAAATATGTGATTTGTCATCGGTGGACATTTTTTGTGAGATTATCAAAGGATTGTGTTAATAAAGATTATCCTGAAACTCTTCACGAATATTCGACAAGTTATGACCTATCTATTATCAGCTATTCGAGAAAGCCCATCATGAAAAATTACCTCAAAATTCAAAGAGTTACAACCCAGAACTTTAAATTTTTAACATTTTATTTAGATTTATATAATTAAACCTACGCATTAGTTTTCTCCTTCACATAAATTTTTAATATTCCCTAATAATAAATTCCTGAAATTTCCTTAATCCATGGCAAGAAGTTAGTTACACGTGCAAAACCAGCAGGAGCACCAGATGCACAACCATTAGATGAAACGAAGGAAGTTACTCCTACAAGAATTCTGTCGGATTCCAAAACCAATGGGCCACCTGAATCACCTTGGCATGTGGAAACTCCGCTTGGAGTTGAAACACAAATGGTACCTGAAGTTACAACTGATGAACCATAAGTTAAAGCACACTTTGTGTTGGTAATGATGGGAAGCACTGCATAGTTCAAGTTAGTAGCAACAGATGAAGCTGAAAAAAGTAAGGGTATATAACGTAATATATTACATTAAGTGTTTAAATAAAAATGAAACTCACAATCGCTGGTGCGACCCCAACCAGAGGCAATAGCGTAACTGCCAGAATAAGTGGAGTAAGATGATGCAATAGATGGCAATTTGATCACTTGAATACTGTCAGTCTCTTCAACAGTTGGAATTTGAATGAGAGAAACATCATTAAGTAGAGTAGTTGGATTGTAACCAGCATGTTGATGTATGTTGCTGGCGGAGACAGTGTGAGTAATCTTTGCTACTGTACGTACAGTTGCACCGAGATAAACCGTTACGGAGGACACTCTAGAAGTGTATTGAATATTATTTTAATGAATATTAGTTAAGTTATACATATTTTTATCTTACCCATTAGTGCAATGAGCAGCTGTTAATACCCAGTTTTTGGCAATCAGAGATCCACCACACCAGGAGGAGCTTAAAGTTTTTTTCAATGATAGACCAACTTGATAGGGAAATTCATTCTCACTTGCTTGAAGACCATTAGTAATTCGTCCATTTATTTCACCATTGTCTTCAACAGACAAGTCCTTAAGTAAAACTGGTTCATCCTTATTAATAGTATATCCATTGGCTGATGCCAAGGCAATCAAAGCAAAAACTAACAACACCTTCATAGTTGATTTCTTTCAATCACCGATGATAATAGGCAAACAATAAGCGGCAATTGCCTTTTTATACAGAAATTTTATATCACAACTATTAAACGTTCGATATTGAAAATTAAATAATTTCAAATTTATTTTAATGATAAGATATAAGTTAAAAAAAGATAAATGTATCTTCAAATTCAGTAGACGAAATATTGGTGGAGAGATTAGAACTTTCTAATTAGTTTAAAAAAATTTCATACATTCTATATGAAACTAACATTATTTCTTATCATAAAACTATTTAGTTAATATTATTTAATATTTATCAATAATAATTTATACATAAATACTTACATACATAGTTAATTGTACTTATACATAAAATATACTATAGTACACTCTTCTTCAAAGTCGTTATCTTCATAAATTCAGCCCCAATCTGTACACTCTCATAATATCCGGATGTTGTCCTAATGAATTGCAATAACGTGATAATTTTTAATCATTTTAATAATTTTTGATAATTTTTAGTCAAATTTATTGTTGAGAACTTTGATAAGATGTCAGCGTCATAATAACAATCTTGATAAATTTTAAGTACACTGATTTTTAGCACCGTAATATAGACATAATCTATATTGGCGTGTGCTTATTTTAATATCTACAAATTTTTTCATTTTTGAATTTTTGTGGACAGTTTCCTGTCTTGAGATAAAAATATGAAAGTGATTAAATCTTTTAATCAAAATAGCAAAAACTAAATATTTATTTATTTCCAGTTTTACCATATCTAATCAATTACATCTATAGACTTCGAGACTATGTCGACGTCAAAAAGTATTATAAACAACCACTGTACTAATATATTCACGTATTTTTTATAAAAATATATAAATATATATTATTACAGATTAAATATAAATATTTATTATAACATATATATTTAGGAACATATACATGCGATATACATATATGCAGACAAATAAATACAGGATACATACTAAAGAAAAATAGTTGTCTTGAGGCCAAATATAGGCAATCAGCCCCTGGTAAACTACTTACTGCTAGTAAATACGATAATCATTGATCATGAGGTTAAAAAGGGCTGAAATTGAAAACGGGCAACAAATACTTTAAATGACACTTTAATAATTAGAGTTTTCTATATAAATTTGCGGTGAAGTTCAAAATGAACACATGATTTTAATAAAAGGTATTTATCGTCAGGATTTTTACCTCAGGTATTTTTAATACAAGTGTAGAATTGGTTATTTTATATGGAGGCGAGATATGGCTCGTAAACTTTAGCAGCAAGCAAAAGCTGCAGACCTTTACTAACAGGTATCTGCGAAACATCATGAGAATCTGGTGGCCAAGGCAAATAAGAAATGAAGATCTATTTCAAACAACTCAACAGGAAAATATATATATTATATATATATATTTTATATTTTATTTACGATTCTTAAAATATCGACAAAAATCGTTTTAGTATTACACCTTATACAAATAACAAATAAGAGATACTAATAAGCAATTTGATTGGAATATTTAAGATGAAAACGAAGCTATTTTGCTACTAGCTGTTCATTAGTTCTACCACTAAAACCGCCACTTTTTAGCCGTCTAGGTAGTGCAACCGCCGGGAGAAGACTAGATGCTATAACGTTGACATGTGTTTTAAAGATCTGTTTGTGAGCAACGACACACCTTTTTGTCACGTTGTCGGCTGTTGACATGCCAACAGTCTTCTTACAAACGTTGGGAAGATAAATCTTTCACTGTCATAAAGACAAAATTTTATCATATATGGATGTATAAAAGCGGAATTATCACTCCTAGAAGTGTTAGATCAACACTTATGGAGAAAAAGTTAAGTTATTTAATTGCTCTACCGATAATATGATTAAATATATGAGATGTTTTTTACTAAGATAGTTCGTTATGGATATAGTTAGTCCAATAAAATTTTAAAGCTGTCATTGAAATCAGAAGACATTATAGTATATCTTGACTTCGTGATTGTAACAAAATTTTAGTAAAAAATCTATTTAAGAGTTAGACAAGTATAAGTATATCCTTTTTTGAAATATTGAACAAAATCTCTACTAACATACTATTAGGACCAGTTAACAGTTAGAAAATTTATTAGAATAAAATATATGAGATATAGTTTAGTTCCTTACTTGCTTTACATTATTATATATATATCAGACAATCGAAGTTTAAAATAAATTTTAATTTCTTGTAGTAATTTTAATGGCAAACCATTGATTTGGAAGCTAGGTAGATTGATATGGTTAACATCAAATTTCCAGGCATACTTCTCCGGAACAATTTATTAAACATGTTAGAAATTATTCGGATTTATATCTTCACTAACAGTCTGAGTTAGCCAGTAAATATGATAATTTGGTGTGTGATTATTGAAATAGGTTTTGTGTGAATATTTCATTATAAAAATTTAATAATGATCTAGTATATTTAGTTTGACTTTAGTTTAACTTTAAAGAGCACTAACGTATTTGAAACACTAAGAATACAATATATAAAATTAGAACTCATATAAAGTACATAGTATAAGGTGTATTCTGAAAAGGCGCAATTATTATATTAGAAATAAGTCTTAAACAACGATTTTCTTATGAATTGCTTAATCATGATAATAGTTTCAATTAACTGACAACTAATAGGTAGAAACTGGGGACAGATTCAAATGGTGATTCCTCGAGAGATTTAAGACCAAATCCGTGCTGCTTGACAGGGATTATATCTTTTCATTTGTTTATAAGGTGCAAGACAACACGTTATCTACATCAAATTAATTCATTACACCTGATGGAAATTTATTTTGACAATTTCATTGCTATGATATAATCTTATAAATAGTGGCTAATAATGTTGGCAATAAGAAATTAAATTTCTGAAACTTTTACTGAATAAATAAATGACATCCAGGTGATTCACAATAATAATACTAAAAATTATAAGCGACTAGGTACATCTAGGAAAAAGCAATTAAATGTATTTCCTGATTTTCACATACAGAATTACAAACAGTAAAAATATATAAAATAGTGGCTAACATTAAACTAAGACTAAGCATTTTTTGTCATACTTCACTGAACCAGGATCATATTGTTTTTTCAACTTTAAAGATTATCTGTAATCCTATCAATAGAGTCAATAGAAAAAGATGTACGATTTAATAATTATTTGATTAACAGTTTAATTTTCAAATCTTATCTCTACTTAACTTATCGTTACTTAATCTGGATTATTTTACAGTGACTCAACATTGGATTTACATTGGATTTACATTTAGTTTACAGTGGCATTAACAGAAACGATAAGAACTGTACGGTGGTCCCACAAAGTTACAAAAATTTTACAATAATTAAATAATCCGTTTGGTACTATTTTAAATAACTCATAATGTATGTAATTTATTGTTATTTTTTATTGCTGAAATAAATATTTATTATAAAAAAAATCGCTTAAAAAATTTATTTTATTACTAGATTATTCATATAAAAGGTTGCAAATTTCCTAGAACTTATTAGAACTAAAGTTGTTCTTTAAACATGATGAGATCTACATCAATAATTGTTTTAGCACTACTCTTTGCCTATACTGGCGCTTTGCCACAGGATCGTATTATCAACGGCAATGATGCAGCTGTGGGACAAATTCCTTTTCAAGTGGGTTTAACACTTAGCGACTCTTTGGAAAACTGGTGGTGTGGTGGTTCTATTATAAGCACAAATTGGGTCTTAACTGCAGCTCATTGCACAGATGGGTAAATTAAATTATATTACATTTACTTTTAAATAATTTCCAATAATGATTTATTACCAACCACAGAGCCGTTTATGCAATTGTTTATTTGGGTGCCACAGATCGTACTAAACCGGAAAAAGTTCTATATGTAACTAACTCCAATTTTATACAACACGAGGAATACGCAAGAAAACCACATATTATTAATGATATATCATTAATTAAAATTCCACAAATAACATATACCAAGAATATACAAAAAGTTGCTATTCCGAAAATATCAGCAAGTTATTCTTCATATGCTGGTAATATTGCTACTTCATCCGGCTGGGGTATAACCGAAGAAAATACCAATGTCCTACCTACAAACTTACAATATGTCCATTTAAAAATTATAACGAACAGTTTATGCAATGAAACCTATCATTCTACCTTAGTTAACAAAGGATCACTCTGCACTGCTACTCCGCAAGCTACTACCACATGTGAAGGTGATTCTGGTGGCCCGCTGGTGGATCTTGCCTCTGGTAAACTTATTGGTATTAACTCATTCGTGTCAGGAAATGGTTGCGAAGCTGGAGATCCTGCTGGATTCGTTCGAGTAACAGCATACTTGAACTGGATTCGGCAAAATAGTGGTGTGGTTGGAGTGTAAACGTCCAATACAACCAGACAATATAGTCTTATACATGTAGGCATATATATCTGTATGTGTATGTTTGTATGTGTATGGATATATAGAACAGCTAACTGTTAAATAAAGTTTTGTAATTAATAAATATGTATTTCAAATTAAATTACCTCTGCAGTTAAATAAAAATTCAAAAAAAAATATAATTTTCTTTAATTTTAAATGCTATGACTTCACAGATTTTTTAAAGTAACAGAGACATACATAAGAACTATTCATTTGTGAACTTATACTAATATGTGTCAAGTCCTTACTGATTTGATTGTATGGGTGTAACTACAATTACACTAAAACTTTTCAGAACAAAGAATTGAATTTATTTGTCAAAAGAGAACAATATTGGAAAAAATTAAATATTTTGAACTTATTTTAAATTTTCAATACGACCAAACTCTGAATCTGAATAGTCTGGATAGAGTCGTACACTGCTTAAACATGATTTCTTGAGCACATCAACACTCCAGTAGTTTAAAGTACTGAGACTGGTCTGCAAAATCTGCTATACCAAAATCTCCTATGGTGCATACACCAGCCATGATTGCCACGAGGATGTCGGAATTAAGTGTTAAGCGTTATCTATGAACCATTATAGATTATCAAGAACATTGTGACTGTATAAAATCTTCTGTTCTGAAATACCACTCTCTTTTACCAGAATTTTAAAATATTCACAACTGCGAAGTATCTGCCAAACTTTTTCCCGGTAGATATTCACATTAACCATACCACAACAGTCCAGAACCACCCAAAAGCATAACCAAAACAATCCAAAACAAGGAATCGAATATTTCAATTTATGTTTGACCCTTTGAAAGCCAAACTTGATATATTGATTTACTTACAAATTGGGCAATTTTTTCGACAATTATTACATTGCAAGTGCAACTTATTGGTCCGAATTTTGTTTTAAGCGTCGGCATAATTTTATCAATTTGGAAACTTAGCCAAGCTTATTTAAGAGTCAGACTTGCATACGCTTAAAAGACTCTACAGTGAAAATCAAGCAGCAACCAAAATTTCATACTGTTGAAAATTCTCTCTTAGTGTGAATCAACAATTCTATACTGTAGATTTGATCCTATCGATAGGAAATATGTTGGTCCGCATCTATGGACTGTGACCGCCATAAGTCACTATTGGTGCGAACCTTCAGTTAACCACTAAACTTAAACGCTGGTTTGTCCTTATAATTACGATAAGTATTTTTTCTAAGTTAAACAAAGCTAGGGTTGTTGGGAAATTATTTCATTAGTCACCATACGTCACCATCTGAAAAATATGCACCTGTCAGAATAACGGTTCTGCTGGGTGCTAGATAAATCGTCTAATCATATACCTTGCTTTGTTCTGAGCCATGAGGAGTAACATATTAGGTCAGAAATTCTCATTCCCATCTGATACGAGTATCATGAAATTGTTAATTGAAAATACTTTGGAGTTTATTCGTCATGTTAAATGTCTTCTAATCGGCTTTGAGCGGTTGCTAAAAATTTAATATATCATATTCATATATGTAGGTATATTATTTTATATATAATATTCAGTTATGATTTAGTTCAGTTTTATTTATACATGATGGTATTCGAAAAGGTTCTGTAATTCTACCTATAAAACAAACTATTCTGCACAGTTAACGTCAGAGAAATATTTATAGTTTATTGACATCTGAATGAGCAATTATTGCAGCTTTTAGAATAAACCTATAAATAATTCCTTTTATCACCTTTATCTAGATGAAAGTAATATCTCCATAGTTTTGTTATTTATTATTCGTCTTCTTTTAATTTTGTAAGATCTTATTTTTGAAATGAACTTAGCAAATTAGTTTGGTTTCATTTATTATAGAATATACTTTAATGAGAATATGAATATAGAAGTTAAGACCTAATGAGTGCTACATACAATTTCAATTATTTGAATTATTGATATGTGTATATATATACATATATATATATATATATGTAAACATACTTGACCACTAAATATTATCACCAAAATTTAAAAAAAAAATTGTTATTAATTTTTAGATAAAGTTTTAAACAGTCTAGTCTGTTGGAAACACCCCATTTTTTTATGGATCAATTAATTTCTTTATTTCTTTTTTCATCCAAATATGAATAGCTAATCCCATTAAATTGCAATTGGAAGATAATGATTTAATATTTTTTTGACTTAAGTGCATAATTTTTAAATCTTATCATATTAATTAATTTATTTCTATTTTATGTGCAATTTAACCCATTTTGCTGAGGTTAAGCAGTTAATTTACATCGGCCTTACATTACATTTGCAGAAATGATAAGAACTGTGCTATACCCCCCGTGAGTTTCACAAATTATGCAATAAAATTTTAATCCGTTTAGTTTTATTTCAAATAGTTCTAAATCTAAGTCAATAAAATTAAACTCCATAAACGACATATATGATTTATGGTACATACTCATTTATGGCAGAAATAAACATTTATTCTAAAGAGGCCATTGTAAAAATTATTTTATTGCCTTATATTTCATATATAAGTTTGGAAATTGCTTGGAACTTGTTAGAAGTAAATTTGTTCTTTATACATGATGAGATCTATATCAATATTTGCGTTGGCACTACTGTGGGCCTATACTGAGGCACTACCACAGGATCGTATTATCAATGGCAATGATGCAGCCGTGGGACAAATTCCTTTTCAGGTTGGTCTTTCGCTCAGCGACACCCTCCAGAATAAATGGTGTGGTGGCTCAATAATAAGCACAAATTGGATTTTGACGGCAGCTCATTGCACAGACGGGTGAGTCAGTTTTTATTTTATTAATATATAATAAACATTTTTACTTTTTAAAAATAAATAATACTCAATATTAAATAAATTACTCACCTCAGTACCGTTTATGCAATTATTTATTTGGGTGCCACCGATCGTACTAAACCGGAAAAAGTTCTATATGTGACCAACGCCAATTATATACAACATGAAGACTATCAACCAGCTCCTTATGTAATGAACGATATATCACTAATTAAAATTCCAACAATTATATATACCAAAAATATACAAAAAGTTGCAATTCCCAAAATCTCAACGAGTTATTCTTCATATGCTGGTAACATTGCTACAGCTTCCGGTTGGGGTATAATCAAAGACAACACCAATGTCCAACCTTTAAACTTACAATATATACGTTTGAAAGTTATAACGAACAGTTTATGCAATGAAACCTATCACTCTAACTTAGTTCACAAAGGATCACTCTGCACTGCTACTCCACAAGCTACTACTACTTGTGATGGTGATTCTGGTGGCCCTCTAGTAGATATGTCCAGTGGTAGACTAATTGGTATTAACTCATTCGTGTCAGGAAATGGTTGTGAAGTTGGAGATCCCGCTGGATTCGTTCGAGTAACAGCATACTTGAACTGGATTCGGAAAAATAGTGGTGTAGTAGGAGTGTAAACTGAATTATATGTACATATATGTGTGTATATATATCGAACAGTTTGCCATTATTAAAATTTCTTGTTTATATTTACTATATACGTTAAATAAATGAAATTTTCCAGTTGAATAAAAAAAAAACAAATTTTTAATATAATTTTATAGTCTTTCATTTGGGCGATTCACTAAGGACGTGTGCGAGTTAGGCTAAGTTGATGCTAAACCAAATGGGAGATTTTTTGAGATTTTTTGCACTGCACACATTTAGCCATTTATCAACACGTATCGACACATCACCATATTATCGGCACAACTTAGAATTTCCCTCATTTAGAACGCAACTTAGCCTAACTCGCACACGACCTAAATAACATGGACTTTTAAAATTGATCCTTAATTTTATATTCAAAGATTACTAAGTTTTACACTAATTCTTTCTGATACCCATTTATCTATTACTTGAACTTACTGCTGAATTTAGGATTATATTTAAGTCGAAACTGCTAATAAGGTGCACCCAACTTGATATACATATACAAGGATCTAAAAAAATAATTATTAAAAACAAGCAGGTGACATTAAAAAATTTTTTTTTACATTCAATGTTGTAGTCTATTTTTAAAGATTATATTCATAATCTCTCAAAACTTTAAAGTCCTGAAACTTTAAAATTTATAATATCCTTTTCTAATTGTAACGTCAATTTAAACATAACGAGAATTATAAATTCTGCATACGCGATATACATGACAATCATATGATGTATATAATTATAAATTCTGCATAGTTTTTAGTTTTATAATCTATTATATCGACAAAATCTCTAAATATTTCTCAAATTATGTGATAAATATATCAAAAAATTTTTAATATCCGAAAGTAAATTAGTCAGTATTGATATTACATATTTGTTTCAAAACTATATCAAAATTAGACAATCATGCTAAGGATTTAAAATGCTAGGAATTTATAGAAAGTTTTATTTAGACATGATGAGAATTATTATTATTATTTCTCTGTAGTAAGAAAAAAAATTTCAGAATTATTATTATTATTTCTCTGTAGTAAGAAAAAAAATTTCTTTGACTTGTGTATTAAATATTTTCAATATGAACAAAAAATGTTAAAATGTTAAGTTCGAGTAAATTGAGGTAAAATAAATTGAAATTTCCTAGGAATTTTTTCCACTGCATTTATATAAATATTTATTTATTTATTGCACTTATTTATTATTTTTGATTAAAAGTTTTTAAATTTATTTACTTATTTATAAAAATCTTATAAAATTTTCAAATGGTAACACCTAATTTACCTAATTTTCTAATTTACCCTATTCGAAATTCTGGTAAATACCAACATTCGCTGCCAAACCAACATAATTTACTCGTAGCAGACCTAAGAATCTCTCATTGGAAATCTATTTAAAAAAAAAAAGGTTTAGAAAAATAAAAATATAATGTTTTTGCAATTCTCTTAAAAGTGACATCATTGATCTGTCTTCAAGAGATACTCGTGTCGTTACACATAACAACGGTGGGTTGCATATCATTCTGAAAAAAAAACCTTAAATATTAACTGAAGCAATGATAAATATTATTTTATACATTTTTCTCATCTTTGAACAACGGTTTTGGACCGTCAGACGAAAGATTCTACAAAGTAAACTATTCTCGTTATCTTGTAGTAGTCAACTTTATATCTATATTT